TTAAACGAAATAGAGATATATTTCACGTTAGAAATGGGTTGCCAATTGTTGGGCAAACGTTAGGACTTGTATTTTCAAACGAAATAGAGATATATATCATGTTAAAAATGGGTTGCTAATTGTTGGGCAAACGTTAGGACTTGTATTTTTAAACGAAATTGAGGTCTTTTTTACGTTAGAAATGGGTTGCCAATTGTTGGGCAAAGTTAGGACTTGTATTTTTAAACGAAATAGAGGTCTATTTTATATATACCAACTAATTAAACTGACACATAATTTCGTAAATTTGTAGCTATGTCGACTAATGCTGATAGAGGACGGATGTATAAGCGAATAAATAAGAACGGTACTATAAATCCAGTTTTCCAAGTCGAAGTAGTTGGATTTTTGGACTTTGCTTTCTCTAATGAACGATCTACAATAAGATGTCCTTGTAAGAAGTGTCAACTTCAAAAGTTCAAAAATAGAGACGAGATTCATATAGACTTGTTACGAAAAGGATTCATGATCAATTATAGTCACTGGTATGCACACGGTGAATTAGAACCCGAACTTCAACAACCACAACAAACAATAATGGACGAAGATTACAATGAGTTTGATGATGTTGAACAAATGGTCATGGATCAAAATGTTCCTAGTACATCAAGTACGTGGGACGAGCAAGAACCAAATCAACATGCACAACGTTTCTATGATATGTTACAAGCTGCAAACGAGCCGTTGTGGGAGGGATGCCAGAGATTTTCAAAGTTACAGGCAGCGGCAAGGTTTTTGAATTGGAAGGCAGATTGCGATGTACCAGAGACAACCTTCAATCGTAACCTTACTATGGTAAAAGAAATGCTACCTGACGGTGAACAACTGGTTGGTAGCTTTTACGAGACAAAGAAGATGTTGAAGGAGCTTGGTCTTCCGAADGAAAARATACATGCTTGCAAGAACCATTGCATGTTAATTTATAAGGAATTTGCTAATCATAACAGTTGTGTAGTATGTGGGGAGTCTCGTTACAAGACAACAGGCCGAAACAATAAGGTGCCTAATTTGGTGTTGACGTATTTGCCAATTACACCCAGATTACAATGGTGGTATTTGTGTAAGAAAATAGCAAAGGAGATGACTTGGCACCATGATCATCAAACCGATACAGGAAAGATGGTACATCCAAGTGATGGGGAGGCTTGGAAACATTTTGACAGAATGCATCCCGATTTTGCTCAAGATGAAACGTGCCAACCCACATATTGCATGTAACACATATTTCATACAAAAGAAATACATGATATCATTTCATTCAGGTCCTTTAGTACAAGAATCTAACATGACCAGATACAAGGTCCAAAAATTCAAAATACATTT